GTTAGAAATTTTAAAATAAATGAATGTTTTTTTTTTTTTTTTTTTTGTAAATAGAAGCACTGTAAGCATCCTTTGGGGAATTTTATTTTTGACTCAACTCTATTCAAAATTTATAGCAGCAAAGCATATGTCAAATATGGTAACAGAAATGATTAAAAAGAATATTTAAAAAAAAGTATCTAATTTTCAAATTATTGTTCTCTCCTCTGTTTATTTCGTCTAACTTCTTTAAAGTTTCAACTAAACTTAACGTCCATTTAATTCCATTGAGATTTGGATGCATATGTGAAATTTTTTCCTAAAGATGATTTCATTCTTTGAAGAAGATATCGGAGAAAAAAATGGATTGTTAACGATTAAAATTGAAATTTGAGAGATCAGAATAAAAATAATTGAGAAAAGGCAGATATTTCACAAGTTTTGAAAGAATTTCAAAATTAAGAAAAAACACGGCATTTAAATGGAAAATAAAAAGGAATCAAAACGTGAAGGAAAATCGAAGAAAAAAAATAATGATTTTTTATGATAGTGAACTTTTTTAGAGGAATTTTACAATTTAAAAGATTTCTGGTGGAAAAAAATTTTCCATATTTTATATCTTTTGAAGGCTACAAAAGAAAATTCGAACTTTTCTTGATCTATTAAAATTTTTCCCTAACAATAAAGTGATAGTATGTATGATATGAATTGAGGTAAAGAGCATTTAAAATAAGTTGGCATATTTTAATAAATATTAAAATTCAATTTTTTTTGCTCCTTTCAAAATTTTATTTACTTCTTAGGAAAAGTTTTGCTATTAAGAAGAATTTGCAAGACAAACTTAGCTAACTTAATTAATTCCACAAATGTAAAAAGCAACACCTATTTAGATAAAATCATTAACGATGGTAAAATTTAGCATTGTTGTATTCTTATGAATAATTGTTTATATGAGAGTTGAATGATATTCATTTAAATGATATGTTTCAAATTTTTGAATTAATTTTATTCACCAATCAATTTTTAGATGAAATTCGAACTGGAACTTATCGTTCATTATTTCATCCGGAACAACTAATTACCGGCAAAGAGGATGCTGCAAATAATTATGCTCGTGGACATTATACAATTGGGAAAGAGATTATTGATCTTACACTGGATCGTATTCGACGCTTATCTGAAAATTGTACCGGATTACAAGGTTTGGAAGTGTTTTTTTTTTGCTTACTATTCTAGCATTTTAAAATTTAATTAAATATTTAAATAGTGGTTGTTTTTTTTGTTTTAATTTTTCTTTAAAAAATAATGATATAGTTTTTCAATTTTAAATTCATTTTCATGTATTCAGGCTTTTTGGTTTTCCATTCATTTGGTGGTGGTACTGGTTCCGGTTTTACTTCATTACTTATGGAACGTTTATCAGTTGATTATGGGAAAAAAGCGAAATTGGAATTTAGTGTTTATCCTGCACCACAGGTATGCTTACAATCTTTTTTATTAGCTTAAAGATAAGAAAAAAATGAAAGATTTCTCTCTTTTGATTTTTTTAAAAGAAAAAAACAATATGGATTTATTTACTGAAATTTTGCAGTCAAACTTAAAATTTTTGGTTTTAAATTTGAGAATTTTCACATCTTTAATTTGAAAAAAACATATATATATATAAAATTTGAAAAAAAAACATATATAATCATAGTTATTCATTTCATTGCAAACTTACTTGTTAATTATTGTAGGTTTCAACAGCGGTTGTTGAACCATACAATTCAATCCTAACAACACATACCACCTTGGAACATTCTGATTGCTCCTTCATGGTTGACAATGAGGCCATCTATGATATTTGTCGTAGGTAAATTAATTCTTTATTTCATCAGAAAAAACAAACTTTATTACTATTTATAAAAGAATGTCCGATATTTGCCATTAATAAATTTTACTGCAAAATATATTTTCCATTCGATTTGAAAATTTTACAGAAATCTTGACATTGAACGTCCATCATATACAAATTTGAATCGTTTAATCGGACAAATTGTCTCGTCAATTACTGCATCTCTACGTTTTGATGGTGCTTTAAATGTTGACCTTACCGAATTTCAGGTTATTCATCTTCTAATTTTTTCACTTAAAATTGGTACGATCAGAAAAATAGAACGCCATAAATCTTTTTTTTCTTGAAAATTTTTAGAATCTAATCTATTTTTTGTTTGATTAAAATGTTTTGATTTTTAAGTGATTAATATATGTATGATTACTTCAGACCAATCTTGTTCCATATCCACGAATTCATTTCCCTTTGGCAACATTTGCGCCAGTTATTTCTGCTGAAAAAGCCTATCATGAACAATTATCAGTATCAGAAATTACCAATATGTGCTTTGAACCACATAATCAAATGGTTAAGGTAAAAAAAATTATGCTAAAATATTTTCTTAACATCTTTCTTCCCCTTTTTTTCCTAAACATGGAATTGAAAATTCTTCAAATTACTAAATTTTGAAGTCCAGATAAATTTTATGGAACGGAATCTTACGAAACTTAAATGAGTATTGAATTTAAGTTCAAAATTAATACAATCTCAATAATTGATAATTAATCTAAATTATCATCCAAATTCATTCGTAATTTCAGTGTGATCCACGACATGGCAAATATATGGCGGTATGTTTGTTATTCCGCGGTGATGTTGTACCGAAAGATGTCAACGCAGCGATAGCAACGATTAAAACGAAACGTAGCATACAATTTGTTGATTGGTGTCCAACAGGTTTTAAAGTTGGAATTAATTATCAGCCTCCAACTGTTGTTCCTGGTGGTGATCTTGCTAAGGTATATCTCTTCTCACTTTCTTTTCTTCTACGAAATACTTTTAAATTTATATTAAATTTGTAAGCATATTTTAACACTTCTAAAGTCATATTATAATAATTATTATTGCTTCAATAATTATTTATTTGTTTAAATGGAACAATTAGTAAGTATCCAAATACACATTTTATGATATTTATGACAAATGTAATAATTGGTATTGAATGATAATAATTAAGGTACCACGAGCAGTATGTATGCTATCGAATACGACAGCAATAGCTGAGGCATGGGCGAGACTCGATCATAAATTCGATTTAATGTATGCCAAAAGAGCTTTTGTACATTGGTACGTTGGTGAGGGAATGGAAGAAGGTGAATTCTCGGAAGCGCGTGAAGATCTTGCTGCTTTAGAGAAAGATTATGAAGAGGTTTGTTTCCACTCGTAATTAAGATTGAAATCATATTTAATA